TTCTATTATTTCTATTTCTTTTTATATCTTATAGTTTGAGATAAACTTTTTCATTTGAATCTTTTACTAAATCTTTTGTCAATCTTTTCTTATCTAACTTCATTTCATTTTCTTTCTTTTATTTTTTAGTATTTTTTGAGTGTTTCTCTCTTACATTTTATTTTTAAAAAAAAATTTCAACTGTTTCAACTCTAGAGAACATAGAGAAACTGTTGAATCTCTTCCTTTTTTTCTTTTCTTTTTTTTTTGTATTTTATTATATATATTACATTTTTTTTTGTATTTTATTTTATATTTTATTATATCTATCTTTTTTTATACTTTTATTTATCAATTTATTTGTTCATTTTATTTCTCAGTTCACTTCATTTTCGAAAATATATCTGCACACTATTTTTTAGAACATGTAACATCTGTCCAATAATTATCCAGCATACTTATTTCAATATATTTCAATATATTATTTATCATTATCATTATTATTATTGTTATCGTTATCGTTATCGTTATCGTTATCATTATCATTATCATTATCATTATCATTATCATTATCATTATTATTATTATTATTATTATTATTATTATTATTATTATTATTATTATTATTATTATTATTATTATTATTTCGATATATGTTGCTCCAATTTGTTTGTTCAATCCAAGTTGCAACATTACAATTCTATGCATTTTTTTATTAAGTGTTTTATATTAATAACTCGTTAAAAGTGAAAATGGAAAATATTTTTGCAAATAAAAGTTTAAAATAAGCTTAAGAATCAATAGTCGATTTTGAGATCATCTATAGTTAAAGACCTATAATGTCATCACTTTTAAAATATATTTTTTGTGATGTGAAATTTTTTAAATTTTTATAATTATAAAAAAATAGATATCGCGTTGTGGAATATAATATCTCGATATGAATCTCATTTAATGAACGACGAAAATTATGTTCATAATTTTTAATGATTGTCACGTGAATATAGAGATGTAATAAACTATTTATAATATTTTCTAAATATACATATTAAGATTATATTTTATATATAATTTTACATACATTATATATATATATTAAGAATAAAGTTTGAAATTTATTATATATGATTCTATAAATTTTTAATAATATAATACAAAAAATATAGTAAAAATAAATTATTCTTTTAAAAAATAAAATTATATAAAAGATAATCAAAATGTTCATACTATTTTACCCAAAAGATTTTAAATTTTAGATTTAATATAATAATATAATACAAGATAATATAATAATATAATACAAGATAATAATATAATACAAAAAATATAGTATAAAAAATAAATTATTCTTTTAAAAAATAAAATTATATAAAAGATAATCAAAATGTTCATACTATTTTACCCAAAAGATTTTAAATTTTAGATTAGATTTTAGATTGAGAGAAAATAGACAATTTAATAAAAAAATAAATAGTAATCAATAATTTTGTTTTTTTAATTCAATTAGATTAAATGATAAGATAAATTAATTCAATTAAATAAAAATGATAGAATAATATTTCAGTCTTGTGTAAGTCATTAATTTCACTCAAATTGATACATGCATTGCAATATTTATGTTTCAATGATTTTTAGATATGCGAATTGCCTGTCAAATTGTTGTTTAAATAGTGAGAAAAAAAAGAGAAAAAAAAAAGCAAAAAAGTAGGATATATGATGATATTTAAATAATCATAATAAATGTAATCATAATAAATGTAAATTTTTTCTTGCAATTGATCAAAAAAATATAAATAATGATGAATTTGGAAAATAATATAATTTCAATATTTTTTATTAAAAAAATTGCCATTCATGATTTTTTTGAAACTTTTTATCCTAATGAATAGAATAGAATATGAATAGAATACAATAAAAAAAAATTGATCTTGAATTTCAAGATCAAGATTATTTTTGTTTAAACATTTATTTAGTATATTTAACTAATTAAGTAAATTAATAAATTAACTAAATTATATAACTATATCTAGATTCAGATATCCAGAAATAAATAATAATATTTATAATTATTATTTATTTATTAATTTGCTTAATAAGTCATACTATAATATATATAATATAATCTATATACTATATATATATTTTTTATTATATATAATATAATAAAATAAAATCATACTATACTATTATATTTACTACTTATTTACTTTTCATATAGTACAATTTGACAAAGCTTCTTTTATTATTTTCTAATTTTATTGCAGATAATTTTTTTTTTTAAATAAGTTCAACAAATTTTGTTTTATATTCATTCATCAAAAGATATTATTATTGTAGATTTTTTATTTATAAATTTTCTTATTATACTCTTCTTTTTAATCTCAAAAGTTTGATTTTATTAATAAATCTTATTATAAATTAATTATATTTTTATTATTTAACACTGTTATAAATATTTCTAAAAAATATTCATAATCTTAATAGTATTTTTGAAAAAAAATTCTATCAATAATGGAATGTTTAAATTTTTTACTTTAATAGATCATAACATTAATTTTATTTCAGATATTTCAATTACTGATGTATATTTATATAATAGATTATGAATTTAAAAGCAAAATGAATTGTTCTGAAGATTTTAAAATTATTAAAATGAAACTTTCATTTGCAAAAGTGAATTAATTTCATTTAAACTAAATTGGATAATAAAAAATGTCACTATGAAACATGTAAGAATTTAAAGATTAAATTTTTAAAAACCTATTGAGTTTCTATAATTTTTATAGATAATACTTTTATGAAAGCTTAATCAAAAATTGAAAAAAAATGTCTTTAAAATGAATGAACAATTTGAAACAATATCTCTTATATTATATAATATATATAACTTATATATATATAACTCTTTATTTATTAACTTTTTGCAGAATAACTAATAAAAAATTTTATAAAATGTCTGATAATTATGTAGGATAATATATAGGACAATATAGAAAAAAATAAATTATCTTCTTAAACAAGTTCAATAATTTCAAAATTTTTAAACATTTTTTATATATTGAATGTCCAACTATGAATGAATCAACTAATAATTGCATAACATTATCTTTAGATGCTTATGAAAAAGAGATAAAATAATAGTTTTGATATAATTTTGAAATGTATAAATTTTCTATTTATTTTAATTGAATGCAGGCTATGAATTGAGAGATATTTCATTTAAACAACCTTGTTCTTTATTTTACACGAGAAAATTAATAATGGAGACATATATACTTCTTGCTGAGATTCATAATATTGCTATAATATTTATATCTTATTCATGATCCAATTTATCATTTTTCTTTTTGAACAAGAAATATTTTAAAATGAAATTTTAAATTACATAAAATTTACATAAAATACATAAAATTTTTATTTCGTTAATATTAAATGTTACTTAAAAAAATAGTCACAATGATTTTATTAAAATCATTAGTTTTTGCAATAAATATTAGTTTTGGTTTAGTTTAATTATGTCTTAATAATGTCTTTTTAAAAATTTTTTGAATCAATATAAATTAATTAACTCAATCTTTAAAATTATTTTCAATTTTCTTTTTTTCTTTGCATAATCATGTATCTCTATATCTTTAAAAATACAAAAATAAATAAAAATACAACCATGAATTTTGCAAAAATTTGATGAAATTTAATCATATAAATATTTTCTTTGTCTTAGAAATAAAGTTTAATTCTAAATTTAAAATTAAATAATAACTTTTTCCTACATATATGTACATAAATAAATTTTTTACAAATTCAAAATGTTTTAAAATATGTATAAATTATTATTTTTTATATGTATAAATTTTATTTTTTAAATTATTATATTTTATTACATAAAATTTTATATAAGAAATTATAAGATTATTTAAAAAAAAAAATAAATTATATTTATTTACAAATAAACATATTTCATTTTTTTTTCTTTTTTAATATATTTTTTTAAGTTAAATTTTTGATTTTTGACAGTTTGAGATTTTATAATTTTTAGAAAGTTTTTTACATTTTTTTCTTTTTAAAACAAATTTAATTGCATTTTTCAATTCTGTCTATTTTCAGACTAATTCTGTCTACTTTTCTTATATACTTACTATTGTAAAAAATAATTTACATTTATAACTTAATAATTTATATACATTAATATTATCTAACTAGGATTTTCCTAACTAGGATTATACTTTGCAAAACCAAAGTTCAAAAAGCAATTCATAATTCATATATTCGTTATATTCGTTTACTTTATTCATCTCATCACTTTTTTAAACAAAAATATAATATATAAAATTATAATAAATATATATATATATATATATATATATAAAGAAAAAAAATACATGTGAAATAAAGTAAAAAATGAATTTCATAAAGTATTAAAAAATAATTAAATTATTTTTTCGTAATTAAAAAATAATCAAAATTGACTTTCATATATAATATTAATTATATAAAATTTTTTTTTTTAAATAATTTTTTTTATTTATCATAATGATTTTTTTTTTAAATTTTGTTTATTATTTCTTTAAAACTAAATATTTAAAAAATTGTATTTAAAAAATATAAAATTTTCAAAATTTTTCAAAAATCTATATTGTTTAAATATGATTCTACTGTTATATTTTAACTGTATATTTTCCTATCTTTATATTATAATCTAAAATTTTATTAATCAAACACATGATGCAGATGTCCAATAAGATATAATTTTATCTAGTGAATTCTAGTACCATTATTTTTTATTAGATAATGAAATATATCAGAATTATTATAATATTGAATTGAAATTCGAAATTTGAAATGGAATAATTATTCATTTTTGGTATTGAAATATAAATATTTATAAAAATAAATATTTATTATTTAAAATAATTTTATAATATTAATTAAATATCGGAATTATAAATATCGATACTGAATATACTCAGTATCGAGAAATATCGAATATACTCGTATTTAAATCGATTCATCCCTAGATGTTTCGTGCATAAGCGATAACTTCCTTTTCGTATATGGAGTGGTAGAAAATATTGTTCGGTATAAAGATTTTATTATATTTACGAACAAAATGGTAAGCAAAATTTTCTTAAGATTAGTATAATTAAATAAATAAAATTTTTGATTATTTGTACAAATTATTTAATATAAATAAATATGTTAGATGTATGTTATTTAATAGGATTTGAAAAATGATATTTATTGCAGCTTATACAAATGAATGTTATAAATCATTTTAATATTATGAAATAAAAAATACAATAATATTTTATTTATTATTTTGAATTGGTTAATTTTATGTCTTACAGTATATTGAAAATAATTTTTTTATTTAATTGAAATGTGCATATTTGTTTAATGTACTCATAATAAAATTAAAAATAATAAAGTCAAAAATGATACTAGTTTTATAAATAATATTATTAGATATTAAAATAAATATAATTTTTAATAAATAATATTTCTTGAATGATGAAAATTTTAGCTCACATTGATAAAGAAATGAGAAAATTGTCTCAATGTCACTGAATATTATACATAAATGAAGCATAATATATAATCGTTCTTAATATGAAAAATAATATATCTATATCATCTATTTTTTAGGGTTTTGTAAAAGTTGTTAAGAATAAACAATATTTTAAGCGTTATCAAGTTAAATTCAGAAGGCGACGTGAGGGAAAAACTGATTATTATGCACGTAAACGATTAACTATTCAGGATAAAAATAAATATAATACTCCTAAATATAGATTAATTGTACGTCTATCAAAGAAATACATTACTTGTCAGGTAAATATAATGAATAAAATATTTAAAAATTTTTATTTATGAATTATTAAAAATTTTTTTATATATAGGTTGCATATTCAAGAATTGAAGGAGATAGAATTGTATGTGCAGCTTATAGTCATGAACTTCCAAAATATGGTATTAAAGTTGGTCTTACTAATTATGCTTCTGCATATTGTACAGGTCTTCTTTTAGCACGAAGAGTAAGATTTTTATAGTTATATTTTATGATTATATATTATATTATATATAAATATAATATTATATAAATATATATATAGGTGAAAAGTTGACTAAATTGAAAGTTTAGAATAAAATGAAGACAAAAGTTTTTTATTTAATCATTGATTGTCATATTATGTTGTGTTATAAATGTGGTTTTTAATGTATTTATGATTATATAAAAATTAATTAAAATTGGCCAATTAAATTTATACTTTTTCCAAATATCAACTTCTCAGCTTAATATATTCTATTATATATTATAGATATTTATTTGATGATGAAATACTCAGCTCGCTTTGATACATAACTGAAGAAACTTTAATTGTTCCCTGTTATATATAATTCTGAACAATAATTACATAATGTTAAATATAGTTTAAATTAAATATAATATCTTTTAAATAATGATTTTTTATTTTTTTTGTATAGTTATTAAAAAAGTTAGGCCTAGATACCTTATATACTGGAACAACTGAAGTAACTGGTGATGAATATAATGTTGAAGAATTAGATGATGAAGGCCCTGGTGCATTTAGATGTTATTTAGATACTGGTCTAATGCGTACAACTACTGGTGCTAGAGTTTTTGGCGCTATGAAAGGTGCTGTTGATGGTGGTCTGAATATTCCACATAGGTATTTATTAACTTAATTATTTTAGGAAATATTAAATAGAAAAATAATATTCATTAATATTATGATGATTATATAATACATGCGCGTCATCTGAGTCATAGCAAGACATGATTTTGTATTTGTGTTCTACAATACAATTTACTTTTTTGCATAGACATAAAAAGATTAAAAATTATGTTTCTGATAATATCTTCTAAATATAAAAATAATATAAAGTAATTTCAAATATAATTTATAATTATTCTTATTCTTATAATATAGTACCAAGAGGTTTCCTGGTTATGATAGCGAGTCCAAATCTTTTAATGCTGATGTTCATCGACAACATATTTTTGGACAACATGTTGCAAATTATATGAAAACATTAGAAGAAGATGATGATGAAGCTTTCAAACGACAATTTTCACAATATATAAAAAATGGTATTACGGCTGATAGTGTAAGTATTTGTTCATTTTATGATTATGATTCGTCCAGTTTATAATTACTGTAGACTTTCATAATTTCTGCAGTGTCGCAACTGGACAATAATAAGTGCATTGGTTGTAAGAAATAAATGCATGATATAGCATTTATCATATCAACTTATGTTACATTTTATTTATTTTCTGCTATTTATATTTTTATTTTATATATCAATATTTTATTATATAAAATTTGTTTTTACTAGTTATTTATTAATCAATATTCTCATAAACAATAAATTATAAAAAAAATAAAAAAAAACTAGTACAATTGTATTATATTCTGCATTTTAATTAATTCTAAAATAATAATCAATATAAATTGAAAAAGATAGGTGGATGTATATATAGATATGTATTTATATATCTATCATATATCTACATTTCTATTATATTTATTTATACATATCTATATGAAATAGATATGTATAAATAGAAGTAGATATTAATTGATAAAGATAGTTTTATAAATAAAATTTTTGATATAATCATAAAATATAATTAAATTAAAAATATTCATAATTAATTGAATGTTTTTATATAATATGATTTGACATAAATACGAGTTTAAAATATGATGTTACTAATAAAAATGATAGTGATTATATGAAAGATTATTTCACTAATTTTTAAATATATATAAAGGACAAGATTTTGAACAATTTTTTCTTGTGCATATAATACATGCATATCATTCTTAATTTTTGAGATATTTGTAAAAAAAATTTTTACTATTTATTAAATTTGTTGACATAAAACATATAATGTTAAATTTCATTTATACATTATACATTTATACATATATTCATTATTTATACATTTATAAATATATGTGTGCTTAGTAGCATTAATTATTGTTTTACATTATTAATGTAAACAAATGTACATAATGTTTACATTATTAATGTAAATATATCAGAATAGCTGAAATTTAAAATATACGAATGAAGTGGTTAAAAAAAACTTCACAAATTTTTAAGCTTAAATATTTTAATCTCATTCGAGTTTAAGTATTTCGTGAAATTACATTTAGTATCTATTCATAGAAATTTTGATCATTTCCCGAATTCTTTTGAATCGAACGAAAATATAAAACAATTTTTTAAAAAACAAAAATATAATGATAGATTAAAATGATAGTAATATTAATCTCATAGTTAATATTTATTATTGTATTGATTAATTTCAATCAAAAATTTTTTATTTTATTATATTTTATTGTTTTATATTTTTATATTTTATTTTCGCATTTCATGGATTCTAAAGATTTATAAAATGCCCAAAGTCTCTAATAAGATACTAAGAGTAGTGATAGTTTATACATATGTTTAGATGCCAATTGTTATCATATATTTATATAAAAAAAAAATAAATTATGAAAAATGGCAGTATGCTAACACATAAGTATGTTGTAAACAAAATTCTACAACAATCTAACAATAATCTTTCTTTGTAAATATTTCAAAAATTAAAACTAAACAAATATATATACAAGAAAAAATTATTTAAAATTTTATTCTCTGTACATATTTTTATTGAAATCAGTTCTTCATTTTAATTTTTTAAATAATTATCAAAATTATTTTTTTTTCATGTTTACAACAAAAACAAATATCTTGTATAAAATATTGCTTATAGGAATATTCATTTTATTATTATATGAATAGATAATTTGAAAATATAAATGAAAGAAAAATAAATAATGTGAACAAGAAATAATTTGTAAAATTAGTGATGAATATTTATCATATAACCATATTCAATAATGTATATAATAAATATAAAAAATATGTATGTAGTAATTAATTTCAACAAAAACTTCGGTTATTTTTTATTATATTATTATTTATTATTATATCTTTTTGGTACGATATTTATCTATTGTGATATTAATTTTTTGCGCTTCAATGGTGATTCTCGGGCATCTCTTTGATTGATGCGGCAATTCGAACGGCGACAATATTTATTTATCTTTGATTTTTTAAAATATCGCTTCATGAATAGATTCCTAAAACTCTATATATAATCTTATAAAGTATAAAATAATATACTGTTAAATAGCTAGATTTTTTATCTCAAAATAGACGCAGATCGAACTTTTCGTCGTTAATCCGAGTTTGGTAGTCATGGCAATAGAAATATCATTTTGAAAGTTTCTGAATTTTTTGTAAATGATAATGAAATTAGTTCAAATGAAGATGAGTTTGATTTTTTATTATTGAATGATAAAATTACTTTTATTTATTAAGAAATTGACAATAAGAGAAAGAAAATAATGATGAAAATAGAGATATAATAAGAAAAGGTAAAAAATAAGAATAATAGACAGTGAATATGAGAGCACGTTATTGGGATTATAAGGTTTACTCTCGACGAAATAAGAAAGACATAAGAAACGACATTTTATTACTAAAATATTATACAAAACAAGATAGACTTTAATATTCAATAAATTTTCTTTCTTTATAAAGATACAAATATTAAAATATAAAAGTTTTATACGTTAATTTGTGTGTGAAATTATTGTTGACTGCCATGCATATTTCTAACGAAATCTTTTTCAGGCCATGTGCGCCGCTGTATCAAGCGTAATCCAGTAGTTCTACCGATATTTTAATTTGATGGTTGCAAGAATGTCTCGCATCATTTGTTTCCATCATTACTCTTCTTGATAATAGTAATTGTATTGACAATAGTACCTCTCTACTTGATAATAGTAATTGTATTGACAATAGTATTGAATAGTACTGATTTATATAGTATATTTTGGATATTTTAATATGGATAATTTGGATTATAATTTGGATAATATGACTATTGAATGTCTTCGATTAGTCGTAACAAATGTACTTCTTAGTTGTGAATTGTATATAAATTATTCGTGTGGCTTGTCTATTAGAGATTAGGGTCACAGCAGGTACTCGTGTCCAATGGTCAGAGTACGATATGTTCATAAATTATCTAATGTCGTTACCATGAGACTCGTGATACTCCAAAATTAGAAGATTTAAAGAATTATTAGCTGCAAAATTGTTAGGATTATCCGAAAATACAACAAAACCTTGTCAAAACTTTCAACGGAGTCAACATAATATTGCTGTTCGGAAAAATAATTCTGGTATAAGTATTAGACTGCATGCAAATTATGTTATTCGGATAAAAGACAACAAATGGATCGATCAAACGCACGAAGGAATTTAAAAAAGACAACTTTTTGTCCAAATTATTTGGATTACCTCAGCTTTATATAAAATGTTTTAAAATTTTACATTCAAAATAATTTTTTTAATAAATTATTTTTTTATTTTTATAACAATTTAATAATTTTATTACACCGTGCAGAATATCTTTCCAAATACCTACGAAGATCGTTCATAAGTAGTCAAATAAGCATCACCCAAATGGGTGACGCGGCCCGATGAGAACTTTTGTTGTTATCTGAATATGGGTGATGCGGCAGTCAACGTGTTAAGTTAGCTATAAAAAATTCACCAAACGAGTGCGAAAAATCATCTGAAATTTGTTGGTTCGGCCGAGTGAAAAAGATCTGGAGCGCAAAAGGTTAAAATCGATGATCGTTTATATTCATTCGATGGCTATCAACCAAAATCAATAATCATATCGAAAAATATTTAATAAAATCTCAACAAATAAATTATATATAATAATATATAGATTAGATAGATATAGATAGAATTATATATAATAATATATTAGAAATCTTTAAAGTAATTTGAATAATTTAAAAAAAAATGTTATCCAGATTTATTATTAAAATATATTAATAAATATTTAGAAAGTTATAATTATATAACTAGTAAGTATTTATATTAGTCATATTTTATTACATATACAATATAAATAATATAACAAATGTAATGTATAAATTTATTGAAAATATGAATTATAAAAACACAAGGATAAAACATTCATATTTAATATGAAAGAAAAAGATATTATATAAAAGATATTCTATATATAAAAACTAAAAAAATTGGAATTTTAAGAAAATGATTTATAATTAAACTTTATAATTCATAAATATATAGATAAGAGTAAATTTGAAAATGCTCCATTATCACATGATTATAATATTTCAAAACTTCATTCTTTCATTTGCAATTGTTTCTTCAGTTTTTTTTACATAATATTTTTTACAAGCTATTTTATTATGATACTACATACAGATTATAGTATATTTGATTTAATTAAAAATTGATGTAATATTAGATTTATTAATGTCCAAACTTTTTAAACTTAACAACTTTTACAATAAATAAATAAATACTCATAATTATAAATAATTTTATAACCTTTATTACAACTCGTAATATTTTGTTCTTTTTTATGTTCAAGTTACAATATTTATATCATATGTTTAATGAAATATGACCATATAAATAGTTATATATATATATAATATATATATATATATATATATATATATATATATATATTTGCTACTTTCTGGATTATTAATATTTTAGTAATAAATATAAATAGCATAATTTTTTTTTTATAAATTATTCTAAAAACTTTTAAAATATGTACATATAAAATGTATTATTTGTTTGTTCAAATTTTGTTAATAAACAGAACTTTTATTGAAATTAATTATTATATAAATACTTTTTACATCTACTGTATGTATATTATTTTATACATAAAATACTTATATAAAAAAATATTTTTCTTATTTTTGTCTACAGATTGAAAGCATTTATAAGAATGCCCATGAAGCTATACGCGCAAATCCAGAACATACGAAGGTTACTAAAGAAAAAATACCTGTGAAAAAACGTTGGAATCGCGCCAAACTTTCTTTATCAGAAAGAAAGAATCGTGTTGCTCAAAAGAAAGCTTCTTTTCTTAAGACATTAGAAGAAGTGGAAGCTTAATTGTATTTCATGGAAGAAATTGTTCAGAAATAAAAATATACGATAGAAATTTTGTATTTTTTTTTATCATGTTAATCAATATAATAATAAATTTTTATGTAATAATTTATTTAAAAATAATCGCAACTTTTAATATAGATTTTATGTAAAACCATATGTTGTATGTATATTAATATATATATATATCTATATATATATTTAATCACAAATATATTATCATTTATAATCAATTTAAATATTAAAGGCATATTATAAATTATAAGTTAATTGATAATTTGTCTGATTTCGAAATTGTTAAAAAAATATAAACTTTTAATGTTATAATTTATAAATTATAATTTATAATGTTAAAATTTTTATAAAACAATTTTTATCTCTGACATGAATTTCACTTTTTTTTATTTTATCCATAAAAGAAGAATGAATTTATAAATTTTCATAATATTATGTTTGTAATATAAAACTTTATTAAAAATTTATTATTATTAAAAATATATATATATTTTTATTTTGCAAATTTTATTTCAAATTCAAATATTAAAAAGTTTAAAAAAAGATATTTGTATTCTGTTTTGAATATTGTATTTTTAAATTATTTCATTGATTTATTAAAATTATTTCATAATATTAATCATATAACAGTTCATTTTTTTATTAAATTTAATAAAAATCACAAAACAAAAAAATATCAAAATATTAATATTTTAGAAGATTTATAAATCATAATACAATAACAGTACAGTTATATGAAAAATATTTAATTATATGATATTAATATATTCATGAGATATCTTCGATTCTTAAAATTAAAATACATTAAAATTGATACATAAAAATGATTGAAGCTTATTCATTAAACAATTTAAATTAGATAAAATGAAATGAAATAAAAATAAAACTTATTTTTTATATCGCAGTCTTACTCTGTATAAATAAGTTCTTATATAAATTTTTGTGTTTAGAATATTCTAAAGATATTTGATTGTATTAACAAATATAATGTTTATATTTCAATAATATATTAAAAGATTAATGTATATTCTTTGGATGGTATTATTGTTTAATATAAAAATAAGAAAAAACTTGATTAATAAAATTTTTCAATCATAATAGCGATTTTAATGTACTATATTTTTACATTTTTAATTATTTTATTTTTGTATTTTAATACATCACTTTGAAAATAAATTCAAACTTACGATAAAAAAATGAAATTCATAAATTTAATAATTAATGAAAAGATAATTTTTATGAAAAACAATAAAAATTATCTACTTTGAATTTATATTTTTTAAACAATTTCAAAATTATATAAATAATGAATTAAACTTTTTTCTCTTCTATTTTTGCATGAATTATAGCATTTAAATTTCAATAAAATTCCAAAAATTGCATAAAAAAATAATTGATTTGGCATAAAATATTTTTATTAGATTATCTGATAAATATTTCATTTAATATGTAATGATTAAGAATATTTGTTGCTTATATTTCTATTTATACGTTATGTACATATACATATACATATTATTACATGTATTTTTACATAACGTATTTATATCAATATATACATAATAAATTTAATGCGGAAAAAAAAATATTTAAAAGTCGTCTATTAAACACATAGAAAGAAGGTTAAAATAAATATATTGAAATATGGATTGTAAATAAATTAAAGAACACTTTTATAATCACATATGATATTCAGAATATAAAATCTTAATTTCGAGATAAATCAACAATTTATATATGGCAAATAATTTTGCCAAAAAATATTCTCTACATTAATAACTTTTTTTAATTAACGAAAGAGTGATAATCTACTACGGGAACCAGGTAATCTGCCTTGCTCATCAATTAATCCAGCTTGAATATCTCTGATTGAAGGAATAGTTCTCACTTCTCCTCGAGCAGCTACGCTAGGTGGTGATTTAAGTAATCGACGTGCTACATTTTTTATATCATCTTTTGATATCTCATCTACAAATGAATATGAACGAATAAAATGATTTTTTCATCATTAATGATAACATGACATCAAATTATTATATATTGAAAATAATTTTAATATTTTTTTAAACTAATTAAAAATTTTTAAATTATAATAATTATAATAAAATGTAAGATAAAAGATTCAGTAAAAATTGGAAAATCAATACTATTGTACTTTGATGTCAGGTCATTAAAAAATAATATATAAATAATATTTATAAAATAATTACACAGAATGATTCTTTTGCCAATAACATCATGTTATATATAAGATTGATATTTGTTATCTAGTAACATTTTATTTACACAAAAATTATATAAAAGATATATATATAAAAACGAAAATATTTATGATTAGTAGTACTAAACTTTTAAAGAGAGAATCTGTATTAAAATTCACGAATATTGGCTGAATAGATTTTTTGAAAGAAAGTGTTCAATGAAGAGAAAATTGTTTTTTAATTTCTCCATATGATATATATGGTTTAATATAATATAATATGAAATTGTTAGAAATATATAAAGTTATTAGCATTTAACTTTGAAATAATGAATTAAAACAATTAAAAAAAAAAAGATAGTAGATTAATTAAACAACATAAAGATTATTACAATACAATGTATGAACAGTACCGGATTAATATATTCATAATTTTAAAATATTATCATATATTAATTAAACATTATAATTAACACATTAAATTTCAATTATTTATACATATGCAATATAATTAATATAATTAATTATACATACATATGTATATTAGTACATTTAGTAATAAAATGAATAGTCATCTATACAAGAAATTGTCATTTTATTTTAATAGTCAAAATATTTATGCTGCTATCAAAACAATGCAATGATATATCAATGCTAAGTTATTGTTAATAAATAAATGAATTTTAACTAAAATATATATAATAATATAAATATGACTATATTCGTTTGACTATATAATTCATGCTTTCTGTTATGTATATGCATGAGAGATTATTTTTTAATTGTTTGAAACTATCAATATTCGTGAATTTTAATGTAATATAAAACATACCAATTGCTTGTATAAAGTATTCTGGCCGTTTTCTAGAACCAGTGGCTAAAACCTGTCTCCCAATATCTTCAAATACAATAGGTCTTTGTTCTAAATTCATAAGTAACATAGATTGTAGTTGCTTCTTTGCTCTCTATTATTAAAATATTACATAAGATTAAAAAAAATAGAAAAATATAGTTATTATACTTATATAAATAAAATTTAATAAATATAACTATACCGCTAATTCGCTGTCTACAATATTATTTGTCATAGTAACCATTTCATGCACAATTACTTCTACCATATCTCTAACATGAGATGGTATACAAGATGCATGAATATAAAAAAGACCTGAATCAGCATATGCATGATTGTATGCAGTTGCACTATATAACCAATGATATCTGTAAAATAATAAGTTTATAATAATATTTATTTCTCATTTTTTAATAGCATTTTTTTTTTAAATAGCATTTTAAGTTTTACCGGTTAAGTACATTTGTGTATAACCGAGTATACATTCCCTTTCCTGGACCTCCAGCACTAAAGCTATTACCACCACCCATCATCATATTTAAAACACACATTGCTACAAAATCTGAATCTTGATGAGAACAACCTTCTAAACCTATTACTACATGTGATAATTCTGGTAGACCACTAGGTCCTGCATATACAGGTACATTACATTCTTCCTATACAAATATAGAATTTAAAGTTGTTATATAATAATAATATTATTATATAAATGTTATTGTTTATATTGTATTTATTTAATTTAAAGCAATAATTACTAGTATGTAACCTCCTGTATATTGAGCAATTGAAGCATCAACTCTATTTAAAGATTTTCTTACGGATATTGAATTTTCTTCTATTCTTTCTTCTTCCCAAACTGATTTTTCATTGACGAAATATCTATAATAATTATTATAAAATTCAAAAAATGTATTTAAAAATGAAATATTGTAATTTAAATATAGAATATATTTATTATACAATTTAAATATATAATAAATATAGAATTTATAATTTATAAGCTTAAAAAATTAAATCAATTTAATAATATTTTATTAATTATATATAGTAATGAATACTTAACAGTTTTATTTATATAATTACTTTTGAACTGCTGCAACAAGATCCTCATGTTCTATACCAACTCCAGCTACTACCATTCTATGTGGTAAATAATGGCGTTTTAAATAATCAAATAATATTTTTCTATCTATAAGATCAATATTTTCTTTTGGACAAATTTTTGGAAATCCAAGAGTATTGCTTCTATATGCAGCCTATATACAGTAAAAGATGTATATTTTTAAAATTTTACTGAAATATTTATGTGTATATATATATATATATATATTTACATACTGCATGAATCATATCCATAAGTATTGGCTCTTGTTCTGGTCTGGTAAGTAGAGATTCTAATTCAAAGTGGATCATCTGTCTTGCTGCATTTATCTAAAAATTCATATAAATTGCCTAAATTTTTACATTATATATTTGCATACAATAAATTTTTATACTAATAAGAATGTATAATATAAAATTATAAAATAATATCGAATTATAAATTATATCGAAATTTATATATAAATTATATTTTATTATACAGATCTTTATTTTGAAATATTTTTTGAATTATTATAAATGACAATAAATTATTTTTTGAAAAATTTAATAGTTTAATAAAATCTTTAAATAAAATAAAAATATATAAAATTTTTTAAATAGTATAATATAAAAATTATTACAAATTTGAATAATTTTATAAAATTAAATATTTTAAATATTTAAATTATTTTTTCTTATTTTATAAAAAATGAAAAGATATAATAAAAAAAGATGTATTTTTCATAAATAATTTTTTGTAATTAATATAAAATAAATACAAATAAATTTTTTTTTATAATACAATGATAATCATTAATATCATATTATATTATATTTAATAAGCTTGTAAACATGCCATTCTTTCAATTTATAAGTATTAATAATTCATAATATTAGTACAAATAATATAATATTAAAAAAAGAATCAATATATATTTAAAATTAAAATTAAATTAAATTAAAAAGTAAATAAAAAATTATTATAATATAATAATTATAATAATATAATATAATAAATTGTAAATTCTTTGAAAACTGTAAATTTATGTAATTTTTTTTATATTTTACATTTTTCATATATCATTAAATATTTATTTTCAATAAAACCATCTAAATTTAGTAATTTCTATGTTATGTTATTTAAAAAATTATAATAGTTTTTAAATAAGATTTGGGAAATTTCTATAGATTTTCAAAAATTTTTTATTATGAAAAAAATATTTAATTTTAATTCCAGAAAAGATCATTAATCATTCAAAAATCATCTGACAGTTTTTCAGTAGATTAAAAATCTTTGAGAAAATCTAAGAAAATTTATTTCAAATTAAATTAAAAAAAATTAAAATAATAAAAATTAAAAATTAAAATAATTTGTTTGAAAACAATATTATTGCAAATATATAAACTGAATAACTTGATCTTTTCAAAAATATCTGAATATGAATAATCTCTATTTATGCATATATTTTAAGGATTAATAATAGAAAAATACTTAATTCTATCAAAATTAAAAAAATTTTTTATCAAAACTCAAAAATTTTTAGATTTAATTCTAATATAAATTCTATTATAAAATCTAAAAATTTATTACTATATATAATAATAAATTTATGAAAATAACATATATTATTTCTAACAAAGCATTTTGTTTATAAAATAAATATAAAATGTATTAAAAATAAATTATAAAATAAATTATATAAAATAAATTATATAAGTTATAAAATAAATTATATTTTACTATAATACACAATAAATTTTTTACCTCCTCCTCTGTAATTTGAGGTCTTAAAACAATATCTCCTAAAATTTGTACGACAGTATCCAATCCATGACGTTCTGCTGATGCTGCATAAACAAATGTATCCCTGGATGCTTGACAATCACATATACCTCCATGTTTTTCTAATGCAAGCATTATCTGATCTTTATTTTTATATGTTTTGGTAGACTGTAAAAATAATTTACTGATTTTTTTTATGCTTTAAATACTAATTCTTTAATATATTATAAAAATCTTACACTAAATGCTAGTTTTTCCAGAAAATGTGAAATACCACTAGGATATGCAATTTCATATCGAGGGCCAGAATCAAGCAATACTGCAAAATATTATAATATTAAATATATTATATATATTAAATATATTATATATATTAAATATATTATATATTATATTAATATTATAATATTAAATATATAATTTAATAAATATAAAACATATGAATAAATAAAGAATATAACAAATAAATAAAAGTATTTCTAAGAATAATTCTTAGAACTTACCACCTATTGTACAAAATTGACCAAATCGATTTTCAGAAGCAACTTTTAATCCATTCGACAAAACTGTTACTTTAGTACCCTGATGTTCTTCTTTAGCAGTAGCATAAATAGCTTTAGGTAAATTAGGAATCGGTTCGGTTAACGGAGGGAATGGTGTAACAATTGATTTTCTTGTTATTTTATTATTAGATACCTTTTGAGAGGAAAAATCACATTTTTTGAGAAAAGGAAACGTCTTTTTTTGTATTGCACTGTAAAAAATATCATTATTAATGCAAAAATTAATTTATAGAAAAATAATCATTGAACAAACGTATTATTGTCGTTTTACAAGGTTAAGTGAAAAACATTTATATCATTGCAGAGCTTTTTTTTACTATAGAGATAGTTACCTTTTCGTGAAAGCAACTGTCAAGGAACTTTGCGACACTTTCATAAGCATTTTCATTTTATTTTTCGTATCAAATCATTTAATATATAAATTAACTTATTATCTTCACAGTTCAGAAACAAAAAATGATTATTTGAACAATCTTAAAAACTTCGATAAAAACTTTAAACAAATAGTTCCTATTAAATAAACGAACTTATACATTCAACAAGAATTTCATACGAATCACAGCGCCACAGTTATAAGTCTTTTGAAAACATAGTGATGAATAATTTCAAATATGTTAGAATACAACCTACTTTAGATACAATCCGTGATGTAAAACTTAATAAAAAATACTGTTTTTTTATTTCAGAAACGTGATTCTAACGTCTATTATTATATTTTTTGCGATAAATTGAAAAACAAAATATTTTTCTAAAAAAATTGATTTAAATATATATAATTTTTCTAATAATCATATGTAAATAATTATAATAAATAGAATATAATATATATATTAAAAATGATGAAAATGATAAAATAAATGTATAAATTTTGAATAGATTTGAGATTGTATTTACTTAATATTTTATAAATATACTATTATATACTATTTATATTTAAAATATTTATTGAATAAATATTAAAATAAAAAAATTTAAGCTTTTATGATTACTTAATTTTATTAACTTTATTAATGATTAGCTTATCATTAGCTTTTTTATCAATTTTTATAAATATTATAGCATATAAGTTAATAGAAATGAAAAAACAAAAAAATTATATAAAACCAAGTGAAAGAAATTAAATAAACATATAAGTAAAAATTAATAATGATATGAATAATAATGATAATTTAGAAAAAGTTATTAAATGAATTATAAACATTAAACTATATTAAAATATATAAAATAGTATTTTAATTCATAATAAATATAGTATAAATAATATAAAAATATAGTATAAAATAAATATAGTATATATAATAAATAGATATATTTATAAAATATTAAATAAAATAGTACCATTATCATATGTACTTATTTTTGAAAATTGATCATATTTAATAATTTATATAAAATTTTATTTTCAATGTAAAAAAATTGAAAAGGTAAATTACTATTTATTATTAATTATAGCTTTTATTATTATATATACAAAAATTATTATTTTCTTAATAAAAACAAAAAGTTCATCTTTTATATACAAAAATATATATACAAAAATTATTATTTTTTTAATAAAAACAAAAAGTTCATCTTTTTATAAATAATCAAAATATATATCATTTATAGTTTTATCTTTATCTTTTATATTCAACAATTTACAATTATGATTATAATTATGATTATGCAACATAAGCATAAACAAAAAACTTTTAGCAGTTAAAAAATTTAAATTGTAATTATACATTTTATTAAAAAAAGTTAATTAAAGATTAGAGAATATGATAATGTAATATCCTACTAATAAGACATATGGAAATATAATTAAAATAATCAAGATCAATATAAAATGTTATGTACTCTCAATTTATAAGCATGATTACCTACAATTAATAAATGCGATAGTTCTATTGACATTCTAATATTATCCTTGTAGATATATAATTTCTAAACAAAATTTTTTGCTTTCTTTACTTTAAATATGAACGATAGATTTTAAATAGATGATGATTTCAATGCGAAAAATGATTCTTGAGGATAGAAAATCATAAATTTAAGAGATAGAATATTCCTAAAAAATATGTGAATAAATTAAAGCACATAAATATTGATGAATCAATTTACTTGATCAATTGATCAATTTAAATAAAATACTTTTTCATTAAAAGTATCTTGTCTTCTTACATTCAAGCTTACCTTATTGATTTTTCATTTGATCATTATCAATTATAATAGTAATACAATAGATCCACAATAAATATATAAATTGGATAGTTTTTTGTGAATATTTAAATAACATTTAATAAATTATAACTTTTCATTAAATACAAAATATAACATAGACAAAGTAGCAAAATCTAACACAACATATTGTTGAAGCAATTAACTTTTACAATAAATTATTTTATTCAAAACAAATACTCAAATTTTATTATGAAGCAGATTACAAAAAAGAAAAAATTAAAAAAAGCATGGCAAAAATCTAAATCTCTTGATGATAAGAAATCTGAATAAAATAATTAAGAAAATTAATAGATTATTCAGCATATAAAAATGAATTCTTTAACAAGTATTTAAACGATATAACATTAATGAAAGCGAATAAACACTAATGAAATTTTCTTTGAAATGCAACCAGATTAATTCCAAAACCACAAGAGAAGATTCTATCTATCTTTGGAATTTGCAAGGCTATTGGATTAGAAGTTTAAGAAAAATGCCATTTATTTTGCTGAAATATTTAAATATTTTTCCTTTATTAGTAGTATTTAAATGCTCAAACAATGAAATTTGAAATTCAAAATTACTTAATGTACTTAATAATAAACTCTTTCAATTATTTTTATTAATATTGGTTGTTATTAATATCGAATAACTAAAAAAGTCAAATGAAGAATACAAAAATAAATTCTAAAAAGGCCGTAAACAATTTCATGAATCAAAATAGTAAAATAGTAAAATAGTTAAATTTAGATACATAAGAAAAATTTTCTTTTTCATATTAAAATTATTTAATGAATTTCTTATTGCTTCAATTATCTTAATGCTTAAAAAAAAATATGTGTTTATAACATCTATTTGCCAAATAATCAAAACTTAGAAATTATTAAAATCCAAAATATTATTTAACAATTGCTCAGATTGTTTAGAAAATTAGAAAATTTTAATATTCTAATAGTTATAAGTATATAAATATAATTTCATTATGCATATAAAATTTTTTTTCTATCATGGAACAGATCATCAAGCATTGCTCATTTGAATGTGTAGGTGTCGAATGTAATATTGGCTATATTTCCGAAAAGCATATGTTTTTATTGAAATTTTGTAAGAATGAATATTCTAAATTTAAAATTTGGATATTCTTTCAAAAAGCTTCACAATTAGGAAAGGAAATAAAGAAAGAGCTTCATTTATTAGATTTCAAAATATTAATAAAAAAATTTCGGAACAATATATTAAATTTTATTTATATGTATAGATATAACACATTGAATGTTGCCTACAAACTTAATACAATTAGTTCATTACAATCATCATTGCATTGTCAATTAGTCAAGTGATATAATATAGTGATATTTAAAATGTTTCAAATAAAATTGATAATTTGTCTAAAAAATATTATCTATTTGGTTATAAATATATAATAAATATATAATATTAATATTAATACTTAATTAAATCAATTAATCAATTAGCTCTCATTTATTGATCTTAATAAGTTTAAAATATATTTAAAAAGAGTTTCATTTCTAACAACTTTTTCCCCTCATACAATACAATAGATGATTGATTTTATTTTTCAAATTATTCGCAAAATTTTGCAGTGACACATCATAATGCGATGTTTTTCACGTTTCTTTATGTGGATAATGGTGTGATTATTATTTTATACTTTTTATTATTTTGTCATGCGGATAACGATAATAGCGAATATTGATTATATTGAAATCTATATGATATATAAAAAAAAGTATCTATACTATGTGTCTATATAATCTATATTATGTCTATATACTGTAGATATATGAAGATGTATGAAGTAGTATGAAGAAACTATGCTTATACGATATAAAGGTCATTGAGAAATGAAATAATATCTTTAGAATTATTCAAATACATAATTTTCTTTGGCCGGCTATGATGGTTGACAGTGTCAGAAATGATTTGATCATAATGATTATTTTTTTTCATGTTTTAATTTTAAATAATCAAAAAATGTTGGATTTCAATAGATTTTATTTATGCAGTGGTATTCAATAACATAAGTATATTATTATATAGAGAAAGAAAAATATTGTTGTTATTATAATTTTTATATTTATGAATATTATTATTATTTTAATTTAGACTGTATATTTTCATATTAGCTACATTAGAATAGTCATCGCATCTCCGATATTTTACATTTTATAAATGCTAAGACTATGATTATTTTTTTTCTATTTCTTTAAATTTCAATTGGAAGTATATGTTTTTCAGGAAAATACAAATTATCTATAAAATTATCTAAAAAATTACCTATATTATTTTTATCATTATCATCAACTAGTAGACTGAATGCAAATAAATTATGCGAATTTGATTAAACATCAAATGAATAAGAATAAATGTTTAATTTAAAATACTGATTTTGAAAATGTATACGAGATTATGTATGGAGTTATAATAATAAAATATAATTTCACAAATACTGGTAAATAAAATTATTTTAGAAATTCTATATCTCTAAAATATTTAAAATATAACTAATTTAAACAGAAAAAAAAATATAAAATTTATTAAAATAACAGATACTATTATTTGCAAGAGAAATTGTTAATGTTGTCTTTATTAGAAACAACATTAGTTTTGTAGAAATTATAGTTAAATCAAAGTTTGAAATAGTAGCAATTATCTTAATGCTTAAAAAGAAAATATGTGTTTATAACATCTATTTGCCAAATAATCAAAACTTAGAAATTATTAAAATCTAAAATATTATTTAACAATTGCTCAGATTGTTTAGAAAATTAGAAAATTTTAATATTCTAATAGTTATATACTGTAACATCGTTTAACTAGAATAGATTTAAAAAAAAAAAAAAACTAAAAAAATTAGAAGATCACGATAATTAACATAGCATTAGATATAATAAAAAAAACTAAACTAAAAGTAAAAGACTGATTCTATAATGGAATAATCAATATTAAGAAAAAAAAAAATTTAAGAATTATAAAAAGTATTTAAAAATTCAATAGAATTCAAGAAATTAACAGAAATATTGAAACTCAAAAGGCAATCATGGATTGACTTCACTTTATTCATAATATAAACACAATATAATAATAATAATATGAAATAAACTAAAATAAATCTCAAGGAAGATTTTAATCTTAATTACTTTGCTACTTAAAACAAAAAAATTCAAACAACACTAACTTTGATTTGGATTTTTTAAAATATAAATATGAAGCTGAAAATTATGATACCTTGAAATTTGATTAAATCAATTTGAATAATATTCTTCTATCTCTAAACAAACTCTTAGTTTATATTGAATCAAACTAAAAAATAATTTTCTAGAGAATATTCCAAATATATTTTTTAATAAATTTAGGCATAATTAAAAGT